CTTTCAAAATGTGAAAAACGGCAAGAACTCCGCTAGAAGCTGACTAATTAGGCCCATGGACACCCCTTAGGCCCATGCCGACCCTCACCGGCTGCTAGCTACTAGCTAGTAGCCACTATGTTATCTTTCTCTATAACATTTCGGACTGCTTTTTCTGCTGCTTTTCTCCGCTAATCAGATACTTAGCACTTTTTTGTGCCTATTTGAGTTCCGTTTCGGTTGCGGTTGCGAACTGTGCCTTTAAGCTAAGCGTAGCGCGTGTCCGTTGGTGGAAGGTTGTGATGGGGTGTTTTGTTCACAGGTGGATGGGAAGGGATGAGCATAGCCAGCATGTCGCGCCGAACTTCTTGTTACATCACTTCCACCAATGACGCAGGCGCCATCTTCTAGATAACACGCCCACTACTTTTAATTCAATCATATTCATGTTGAAGGGAAATGAATTCTGGCGAGAAGGAGCAACTCATAGTGGTGGCGGATCAGCCAATCTCTCCGCAGTATTTCGGATTTTCGAATTTCACGATGGGTTTGAATGAACTATTCCCGGAGGACCGTGCTGTTTTACCACCCACTGACAGTCGACTACGACCCGATGTAAGATGTCTGGAAGAAGGAAAGTTGGACGATGCAGCGTCCTACAAGTATGAACTGGAAAAGGTGAGTTACTGGGTCCTGCTATTCTCATTGAGACTATGGTACAGGGCTTCTCCGAAAGTGAGGCCGGTAATCTGATCTGCCTGAGCCACTCACTATCTGTGAAAACCCAAGGGTGCAAAACCCCCAATAAGCTCATACCCTGGAATATAGTCTATGCTCTCGATGCCTTATCAGCCGAGTCCTGTATTTCCCAGTGCTTTGGTCCTTCGCGCCAAGACCTCCTGAAGAAAGAAAAAAGCTCCAGTTTTCACGTGACCCTTCCAGTAGTTCTGTAACTAAAAGTGTCGTCCGGCACGGATAAGAGGCATTTGAAATGCTTGTGCTCGTGCTAGACTGGAATTGCTATTGATATCTGACAATGAGACCAAGATTTTTGTATACGCTTAGTTGGAAGAATCCACTTCCCCTACCCACCCTTCCCCCCCCCCCTTGAACATTTCTTCAATGTATATAGTATTTTTAGGCTCAACGAGCTCGAAACATTAACGAAGAAACACATAAACCGCTATGGTTTGTTGAGAAAATGGACGAATTTGCCAATACGAAGATGTATGTGACAAATGGAAAATACTGGGAGGCAAAAGAAATGAAATTCGAGCAACAGAAGAAGAATAATGCTTTCATTCCAATATTCAACGTATCGATTACCAATTAGTG